TATATAAATTCCAAATTTATAAGTTGGAAAGCAAAATCATCCTTGAATACTTTCAACAAGGACATGCGGCATTCAGCAGAAAAATTACAGAGAAGTATGGCTTGCTTTATTCTTTTCCGATTTACTCTGCAGCTTACAGTCTACTGTTTTCAAAAGACTTCAAATTTTAAAACATAAAGCCCGAGAGGGCAGCTCCAGGCAATGAAACAGACAGCCCCTGCTAGTTTGTGGGAAACAATATTTATCTTACTTCAGGAGACTTTTCGGGAAAGTTGGGAAAGGAAAAACTTCAATTCATTGATGATTTTGTCCTCTGAGAAAGAAGGCTCTGTGACAGTTACAGGGGCAGCTCAGTGAGGTCCCTCTCTGGCCATTTTATAAGTGAGGTAATATAATAAGATATCAGGCAAGCCTCTACATGCTCACATTCCTGTGTCACTACCTAGGCTGGACTAGAGAATGGTGGGAGGAGACAGAGAAGGTAAAGATGGCTATTTGTGAAACTTGACACTTTGAGCCTCAAAGGCTCTCTTGTTTTAGGAGAGAAAAGAGCCTTGAATCTCACTTAGGATGGTTCCATAAACACCTAATTTTCAAGATACAGAAAAAACCCCCCTGTTATCAGTAAGTAATATAGATAATGACATTCCACCTTCCAGTGAGTAAGCCTGTGCCCTTAAGTAGAAGGAAGGCAGAGGATGTGACATGCTCTCTCCTCAGCTGATATCAGGTCCTATGAGCCTGACTATTTTCCATACAATATGACCCTGAGACACAAACTACTCTATGTGGTATTCGACTAAAGAAACATGAAGGTGAAATAGCTATGTTGGGTTAAGGCAGAGTATATTGCTTTCCAACATCTTGAAGAACTTCCCAGGGTAAGTTCAGCTATGTGATCTTTTTCACTGTACATGGTGACTCCAATGTTTGTTTCTCATTAAGATGTGACTCCCAGTATCTGCAGTGGTGGTCTTCTTTTTCTCAACTTTTTATGATTTAGTCAGATAAGATTCTATCATGTTAAATTCCGTATTATCAGTTTCATAGGAAACCTTCAGAAATAAAAGTCTTGATATCAAAGAGTCAGGAAAAGACCAAGTCAATGTGACTAAGACTTTATGAAGAAGCTGCTTCTATTTTACCTTTTGTGGTGTATAATAATCCTCTTCTGAATCCAAACCCAGTCGCCCTGAGAAATAGGTAAGAAAGATAATAAAGGCTTTGTTCCTAATGAAAATGTTCTTGTATTAAATTAACACTCCTGAGATAAGAGACTGCATGCTTTATCTGGCTACATACAGGCCTGACGTCAGGCTGTACACCTGGGAGCAATTGACCAAAGACAAAGCTGCACCTACCATACTCGCCACAGCCCCAAGAATACACTTCCTTGTTTCGTGTCAGAACTACTACGTGATTATCTCCACAGGAGACTTGCTCCACAGGATTGCTGAGGAAGAAGTTCAGCTGCATGGGTTCTAGTACTTCAGGGCCAGCGACCTTGTCCACTCCCATGCAGCCATAATAATCTGATCCAAAGGCATAGAGCTGACCCTCATCTGCAAAGGGAAGGAAAAGAGAATTTATCAAAGGACTGACTTACTTTCTCCAATCAGAAAGCTGGGCAGGGCTGGAATGAGGTCTCTTTAGCCAGTGATTCACATAAGATGATTACATCACAGAAATCCTAAGGATAGCCCATGCAAGCAAATCTAGAGTTGTCTCTATTTACAGGAGATCACTGGTACTACTACAACAATGGAAAAGGACTTAAAATTCCACTAGTGTTTTCTTTATATTTTATAGATTTAAGGGACCATAAATACAAACAAGAACTAGAGTTCAGCTTCTGATTCAGTTAGGCATGACCTATGTGATTCTTTCTTCTGCTCCGTACTTCTTCTAATCCCACTTCTTCTCTGTTACTCACCTGTCTTCTCCTGGCTCCTCACTCCTTAGTACCATAACAGACTGGGCATGTTGTGATTGTTGTTGTTGTTGTTATGTGCTGTCGAGGCGTTTGCGACTCATAGCGACCCTATGTACAACAGCCCTAAACCATGCTCTATCCTGTGCCACTCTCATTGCCTCTGATACACCCATCCCGATTACCCCAGTCACTGAATCAATCCACCTCATAGAGGGTCTTCCCCTCCTGTGCTGTCCCTCTACTCTACCCAGCATGATGTCCTTCTCTAAAGACCTGTCTCTCCTTACAACATGTCCAAAGTATGTCAGATGAAGCCCCAGAATCCTTGCCTCCAAGGAGCACCCTCTCTAGGATGAATCTGTTTGTTTTCTTGGCAGTCCATGGTACATTCAATACTCTTCTCCAGCACCACAGCTCAAAGGCGTCAATTCTCCTTCTATCCTCCCTAGTCACTGTCCAACTCTCTGATGCATAGCAAGTGATTGCAAAAACCATGGCCCATATCAGGCGCCCCTTAGTCTTCAGAGAGACACCATTGCTCTTGAGTACTTTAGAGAGGTCCCTAACCGCAGACTTTCCCATCACAATCCGTTTTTTGATTTTCTGGCTACTGGTGCCAAGAGTGTTGACTGTGGAGGCAAGCAAACTGAAGCTGTGAACAATCTCAATCTCTTCACCATCCATCCTGATGCTACCGATTGGTCCAGTGGTTGTGATTAGTGTGTATAATTTTCTTTTAATGCTGCCTTTTGTGGTAAAATCCCAAGTAAAACTGCACCAGATTAAGCACAACATTCCACATTAACTGCATTTCCGTGTCTGCTGCCGATGGCTTACCTGTCACACAAACAGTGAAATCATCACCACAGGACACCTGATGGATAGCTTTGCCTTGTAACTTCTCCACATGCTTTGGCTGTCGATAGGAGGCTTTGTCTCCATGGCCCAGCTGGCCGTGGAGTTTAGTACCCCCTTGCATGTTCTGTGAAATAAAGATATCTTTGAAGTCTTAATTTTTTTATGCAAACGCTGATCTTTAAGATGACTTTTTACAAAGAAAAATACAGGTATTTCTTGCTAGAAAGCTTCTATGAAACCTGTTCTAAGCTGAAGTAGTGTAAAATAAACAATTACCATTCATTTATATGGGAGAAAAAACTATTATGTGCTCCCCAAAACCTACCTCAAAATCATACCAAACAACATCTAAAATAGTACTGACATACAATGTGGAGAGCCCCAGTTCAGAGCTATGGCAGCTTGATGCTAAGATGCTGGATGTAATTTCTGAGGAGGGAGCTTGGTGTCACTACTTCAATCCTTGGGATGAGCACTGCCTTGCTAACAGCTCACTGCAAAAGCAAAAGCTCACAAAAGCAAAAATTCTCTTCAAATTTCTTTTGATTAGTGAAAAGGAACTAAATTTAGTGTTTGGGCTTTTTATTTTTAAAGGGGAAAAAAGGTAAAATGGCATCAAGAGAACTTTCAAAAAGCCAAGAATTTTTCCAAGAATTTTAAAAATCAGTGAAAAGTTTCAAAATTAGGAAACATGGGTAATAGAATTAACCCTTTAATCAAAGTGAGTCACTGCTGTTGAGGCAGAACTCTTAGCTGACTTTCCAGCGAGTTTTCAGAGGCTGTCAAGCACATGGAAGGAGACTGTCCATCTTTCTCCTGTGGATTCAGACCCAGAGGAGCATATCATTTTGGTTCACAGCACAGCTCTATGTTACACATTACAGCTGCCTACATCTTTTCAGGGGATGTAGTATAAAGCTCCTACCAACAGAGAAAAATTTTATAACTATATCCAGATCAACACCCATGTATGATAAATACATGCTCAATTTTTTTTCTCCTTCAAGTCTAAGGTGAATTATGTATTTAATTATGAGTGATGGTAAAAAAATTCTTTCTCTATTTTGACTGTTTTCCACAGGAATATTACCTCTTGAAAATCCTTATTGGAAATTTAACAAATTTTGACCACATATTCCTTCAAGAATCTAATAACATCAAAGAGGTTACTATACAATAGTAAGGATATTTTGAAATGGTATTTCACCAATTTTATAGTGATAATTTTTTCCACTCAATGGCTCAACTGTAAGTCCTCATATAAATGTGTTTTAAGACACTAATTCCACAACATATCTAACAGTCAGCCTACAGGGCCTAGTTCTTTAAAGAAATACCAGCCAAGCCAACATTCTACAATGAGGCTGAACTACTCATTCATTCTTTCATTTCATAAATAGGTACACGTCTACTCGGTCGTACACTGGTGATAACACACTGAATAACACCAATACAGTCTCAGCTCTCAACAAAGTATGTGAGAACACTGACAAAATGAGCCCCCTTACAGAAAAGAGAACAAGTGAAAAGAATCAGGGCCTGTAATAAGGTCAGATAAAGGGATCAGCCCAAGGTGGTAGGTAAGAAACAAACTAACGAGAAAGGGGAAAGTCAAGAGAAAGAAGACAAAGGGAAGTAAAGCTGCCAGCAGAGTGTGGTCAGCTGTGTCAAATGTTGCTAAGAGATGAGGTGAAGTCAGGACTAAAAGTCCGTTATATTTTAGCAATTTATAAACTCATAAAAACCTCTCAATGCTGTTGAGCTGGAAAGAACTCACAGCTGATCCCAAGGCTGTAAAATCTGTGAACAGCATGAGAGGAGGCTGCCTTTTTCTCGTAAAGAACTGTTGATGGATTTGAACCATCAGAGTGTAGCCTCTGGGTTAGTGGAGCAATTCCTTGTGGACGAGTTACCCCAGAGCTCCTTCAGCAATTTAGACATCATTTATTAAAAGAAGTTTCACTGACAAGCACAGATAGAATTGTAGGAAAGTGAAAAGACAGTAGGAATAAGGAACTAGGTAGGCATATTTAAGGTAAGGAAACACATAGGCAGTTTGTTCGAGGTGAGAGAGAGGAATCTAGAGGGAAACAAAAGTTTGTGGAAGGCTTCTTAAAGAAGACAGATGATAACAGCCCAGAATAAGAGGTACATTGCAAAAAGGACTGGGGGTAATGGGAGAGGTAATTTTGCAACAGTGAATGAATATTTTAATAAAGTAAACTAGGGAAGGGGGAAGGGAGCGAGGGGGGTAAAAAGTGCAACAATGAAAGAATGAAAAGCTAACTTTTCTGGAAACTTCTGTTAACATCACAATTAAGATAAAAAATTTTATTAAAAAAAGGTAAAAGGCCTAAGGATGTTTAAATGCAAATGAAAAGAAGCTAGTACAAAGAAAGATGTCAAGACAAAAGAATATAGAGAGTGTAGAACTGATAAAAGTGGGGTCTCTTAGAAGATCCAGAGAAAGGATCAGTCCCAGAAAAAAACAAAAACTCAAGAAATGATAGGTTTCAATCCACTGTTGTCAAGTAGATTCCCACCTTCTCTAGTCAGCAGTTGAGTGTTTTGATCATGGTGCCACCAGACTTTGGATATAGGCTGAGTGGTACAAAACTGAGACATTATTGTAATGGTGTCAGTTTTTAGTAGTGGGAAAAGGTACAATCAGATGCTAGACATAAAGAAGAGATGAGGTGAGGTATATAGGTCGAAGGTCTGCAGTCAATGGAAAAGGTTTATAATAGGTGTGGCAACTAGCAGATAGTTGATTAGGAAAACAGTAGGGCTCTTTAAAAAAATTAAATAAGCATTGGTAACAAAGGCTGGGGAAAGACTTGCTGCAGGAGTTGAATTTGGCTGGTATCTGTGAACTTAGATTTCTGGAGGGTTCCTGTCCTTCCCTGAAGAGTGGTTCACTGTACTTAAACCATTTGCACAAACTATGGTTTATGCAGAATACTGTCTTTCCTCCTGAGAGTTTGGTATGTTGACATGCACTAGGGCAGGAAGCCTATCTGACTAGCCCTCAAAAAAACCCCCAGAGCACTGAGTGACTAATGAATTACTCTGGTAGAAAACATTTCACACTTGCTGTCACAACTCATTGCTGGAGTAACATGTTCTGTGTGACACCACTGGAAGAGGACTCTTAGAAGCTTGATCCTGGGTTCTTCAGGGCTTTAATTTATGTGCCTTTTCTCTTTGTTAGTAAGTTTTGTGTCCTTTCAATAAGGAACCTGAGTTGCTCAATGGTTAAGGATCGAACTGCTAACTAATAGGCTGGTGCTTCAAAACTTACCAGACACTTTGCAAGAGAAAGATTTGCCAGTCTTCTGTAAAGATGGAAATCTCATTGGACAGTTCTATTCTGTAAGTCAGAATCGACTTAAAGACAATGGATTGGATTTCTTGCCTTTTTAAAAATTCTTCCAGTGTAATAAATCATGACTGTGAATAGGACTATATTCTGAGTTCTGGGAATCTTCTGATGAATCATCAAACCTAACAAAAATCCTCACCACTGGACCAATAAGCAACATCATGGTAAACAGAGAAAAGACTGAAGTTAATGATTTCATTCTACTTAGATCCATGATCAGTATCCATGGTAATAGCAGTCAAGAAATCAAAAGATGCACTGCATTGGGAAAATCTGTTCTAAAGGACCAGTCAAAGCTAAAGAGCAAGGAAGCCAGTTTAAAGCACCTGATACCAGCCATGGGTTTTTCAATTACATCTTACAGATATGACAGCTGGATAATGATAAATGCTAATAGGATAATCAATGCTTTTGAATACGTAGCGCTGGAGAAGACTGGATTATTCATTCCATGGACTGCCAAAGAACAAACACAGCACGCCTTAAAGGCAAAGATGGTGAAGCTGTATTTTTTACATACTCTGGGCATGTTGTCAGGAAAGGCCAGTCTTTGGAAAAAGACATAATGCTGGGAAGGTAGGAAGTCAGAGAAAAAGAGAAACTCTCAAAAGAATACAGACTGGCACAGTGACTTTAACAATGAGTCTGAATGTATCAGAGATAGTGAAGAAGACGCAAGATAAGGTTCAGATCTATTGTTCCTAGGGTGGCTGTGAGTCAGAGTTCAGATCCGTTATTCCTAGTGTGGCTGTAAGTCTAAGTGGACTCAATGGCACCTAACAAGAGGAATATTCCTAGAGACTCAGAGGTTAATTCAGAAGATTATTTAATGACAAAAATGCTCAGAGTATAACAGTATGTGGAAAAAACTCCTGAGTACATACGAATAGTAAGCCTAACAATATAATCCCATTTTTATAGAGAAAAATAGACACACACTCACTCACTCACACTCACACACACACAGACACACACACTCTCTCTCTAGCTATCTATCTACAGAAAAAGCTGGGAACATATTTGTGGTAGTTACATATGCCTGGTATTTTACATGATTTTAATTTTCTTGGGTTTTTCTGTATCTTCTACTTTTTTTTTTTTTAACAGTAACTGCAGTAATTTACAATAAGAAAAAATCTGAACAAAATATTAGGAACACTTTTTTGTGAATGAAAATTCTACTCAATCTTTCGTCAGTAACTGGTAGAAGTGTCAGAATCTTTCTGACATTGTATGGTGCTTCATGGGCCTCAGAAACTATTTCATAGATACTGATTGCTCTGAACCTCATAGTAACAGAACCAACCAGTTAAATGACATGTTTGAGATCACTCAGCTATACACGGGAGTCTCAGTCCTTGAGCCCAAGCAGAGGGCTTTTCTTTTAGTCAAAATATATTTATAGGGGACCTAATATGAGGCTCTCTGGTGGCACAGTGGTTAAAACACTCTGGTTAGCCAAAAGGTCAGCAGTTCAAACCAACCAGTTGCTCTCTGAAGATTTACAGACTTGAAAATCCTAAGGGATAGTTCTACTCTTTAAGTTGAATTAACTTCTCAGTAGTGGTTTTAAAAATATGTACCAGTTATCAGGAATGGAGAAGTAACCTAAACAGACAAAATCCCCACTCTTGTAAGAGCTTACATTACCCCTGATGCGCCTCTCCCAGCACATGTTCAACCAACAAAATGCTCCAACATCCTGGGCCCCGGAAACAATTATCACACTGAGCCAAAGGACTCTGTTCTCACTTACCACCCAGGTGTACAGTTCCTTCTCCACAGTGACCACAGCAAAATGGGTATTTCCTGCGCACACCTGTCGGGCACTACAGCCACTCCTGATGACATCTAGTTTCTGGGGAGTGGATTTCCCACCACCCCAAACATAGACTTCACTGGTTCTTGATGTAACCACAGCAATGGGAGCTTCAGACACTGTGCTTGACCTGCCAACAACCCCCAACACAAACGCATATTTAACATAAAAATCAAATCAGAGGGAAAAAAAGGCTTCTAGTCTGTTGCCTGAGAAGAACTACCGATTATGTTATGGGAAAGAATGTCCTTCCTCAGGAACTTAACTCCATCTATCATACATAGCAGGCTCTGTAATTCTTGCCTCAGGACCTCATTACAAGTGACTCAGATTAGATCCCAGTCTCATCCTTAAACCTCTACTTTCCAACATTCACTGCGGTAATAATGTCCATGTTTAAATTAGAGTGAAATGACAGCTTTCTTCTTCCCAGAAATGGCTATTAGAATTTTCAGCTGATACTAGCTCCTAAAAGGATGCTATAGGCAAGGAACATACTCAAAAAAAGACTTTCGTCATAATTTAGGACAAATTAATTTTCAATCCCCTGAGCATTACCTTGGTCTCTTTGTTGGTGCATTAAGCAGTTTGACTCTTTCCTCCATCTCTCTACCAAAAGAAAAGCAAATATACGTAAGTGAAAGAATATGTTCCTAGATTGCACTGGTGTCTAATAAAACAATTCACAAATTAATTTTCCTTTAACCATATGTGTCCTATAATATCACAACACTTTAAGGAAATTACTTGATCCAACTCATATTTATACTAGGTTTCAGGTTTATAGGCTAGAAATGGAGAATTCCTTAAATAGAAAGGGGCCAGCAGTTAGGGCTCATGTGCTTTCTCTCTAATAAATTCTCCAGAGAATGGACATTTCAAAGTACTTGTCTGACATATCCATTTAGTCTTTTCATTGACCGCCCAAACTGATCATCTCCAAGTTTCAGTTTAATCTCTTTCTCTTAAGCCAGTTTTATTTCCTGATTCTTCTATTTGAGTAGCTTGTGTCCCATTCTCCCAGTCAACTGGTCTTAAAATCTCTGGCTCATTCCTAACCCTTTCGTCAATATTCAAGTTCCTCAGATTTTGTTGGTTGTTATGTGCTGTCGAGTCGCCTGTGATTCACAGCAACCTTATGTACAGCAGCCCTAAACCCTGCTCTACCGCTTGCCAATCTTCTTGTCTCCGACACAACTATATACCCATTACACCAGTGACTGAATCAATCCATTTCATCAAGGGTCTTCCTCTCCTGCGCTGTACCTCCACCCTCCCAAGAATGACATCCTCTCCAAGAACTGATCCCACCTTGGAACATGTCCAAAGTATGTCAGACAAAGCTTCAGAATCCTTGCCTCCAAGATGTAGCCTGGCTTTACCCTTTCCAGGACAAACCTGTTTGTTCTCCTAGCAGTTCATGGTATATTCAATACTCTTCTCTAGCACCACAGCTCAAAGGCATCAACTCTCCTTCTATCATCCCTAGTCACTGTCCAGCTCTCTGATGCATAGCAAGTAATTACAAAGACCATGGCCTGTATCAGGTGCACCTTAGTCTCCAGACTGACATCCTTGCTCTTCAGTACTTTGGAGAGGTCTCTGACAGTAGACTTTCCCAATGCAGTATGTCTTTTAATTTTCTGGCTGATGGTACCAAGAGTGTTGATTGTAGAGAAAAGCAAATTGAAGCTGCTAACAATCTCAATCTCTTCACCATCTATCATGATGCTGCCAATCGGCCCAATGAGAAGAATCTTTGTTTTCTTGATGTTGAGCTTCACTCCACATTGAAGGCTGCAGTCCTTGACCTTCTGCAGTAAGGGCTTCAGGTCCTCTTCAGTTTCAGCAAGGAGGTTGTATCATCTGCATCTCCTAAATGGTCTCATTAAAGATCTAATTCACTTTAATCAGTTCTATACTGGCTGAACACTATACAGTAAGTTAGGCATAGCTCTAACCATAGGAACTGCCCTCTAATAAATATCCAACAGTTTTTTAGTATCCTGGGAATTCTTCAGCCTGGAATTCCATGATTCCCTTCCTACCTTTCAAACTTTCCTTCCCTCTACTTAAGGAGTTCTGGAGGTATAATGACCAAAAGGTCAGCAGTATAAATCTACTAGATGCTCTTCAAGACAAAGACAGACAGCCTCCTTCTCTTAGGATTTACAGACTTTCCTGTTAGAAAATCTGATGGAGGTCATTAAGAGTCTAGATCAACTTGACAGCAGAGGGGTTTTTTACTCCCTCTCCACTTACACCTTAATTTCTAGCTCAAGGTTCTCATTCAACCTAAGTCTATGATATCCGAACTCCCAGGGTAGTGTCCAGACACTGGGTTTTTAAAAAAACTCTGAATGCATACATGTGAGTCTCAAGATCTGAAGGCAAAGGTGTTGAGAGCCTCAAGTCTAGAACCATCAGTCTAGAACTGTGTTTCCAGAACATACTCTAAAATTGTCCAAGTCTCTGTAGGTGCCTATGTTATTTTTGTGTCTGAAAAAAAAATCTCTTATGTACTACTCATTATTCAAGTCTCAACCCAAATCTCACGTCTTAGAGAAAAACCACTAATTCCTTCAAGCAGATGTCATCATTTCCTCCTTTAAATTTTGATTGTACCTTCTGTTTACCTCCTTTATAGGGCTATCACATTCTGCCTTATAACTCAATGATGTCTATAACATATTCTTCCTATATCCACTATTAGACCCTAAGACCCCTCAAGGGCTGTCCCCTAGAAACAATGTCTTAATACATAGTAAGTACTCAAATATTAAGACTCTTTTCATTCCAGAAGTAGTCTATGTAGCTCAGAACAAAGTTCACTATATTAAGATCTCCCCTTGCCTCCATAACTTCTCATCTCCTACCTTCTATTTTAAAAAGGAAAAAAACAGAAACTGCAAGTGTTACCCCCTTCTCCAGCACCTCCTGTAATACACCCCTTGTTCCAGATTATTGGCTTATATATAATGCCTAATCATATACTCCTTTCAGATACTTCTTCCCTTATTTAGTTTAATGCAATGTACATTATCTATCCACTCTTTTCCCATTCTCTCCCTAACCTATGTCTGTTCTATATGATAATAGCAGTATTAAGCAATGCTGGTCCATTTGTAACTGAGATATTTCACTCAGTATAATGCTTGCTTGGCTCCACAATCAACGCTTTTGGCATCAGCAATCAGGAAATCAAAAGATGAACTGCACCTGGAAAATCTGCTGTCAGGGACCTCTCCAGAATATTGAGAAGCAATGAAGTCAGTCTAGGAACTAAGGTGCGCCTAATCCAGGCCATGGTTGTCACAATTACTTGCTATGTATCAGAGAGCTGTACAATAACTAAAGATGATAGAAGAAGAATTAGTGCCTTTGAGTTGTGGTGCTAGAGACAAGTCTTGGACTCTTGGACCATGAAGAGTCTTGGACCATGGACTGCCAAGAAAACAAATCTGTATGTCTTGGTGACTGTGAAACCAAGTTTCTCCCTAGAGGCTAGGATTCTGAAGATCTCACATATTTTGGGCACGTGGCTAGAAGGGACCTGTACTAGGAGAAGGATATCATACTTGGAAGGGTGGAGGGATGGGGCAAGAGAGGAAGACCTTGGATGAGATGGATTGATCCATGGCAATGGATCCAGGGCAATGGGGTTTGGTGTGTTGAAATCAATGAGACTGGCTCAAGACATGGCAGGCTTTAGAGCTGCTATACAGAGGGTCACCATGGGTCACAAGCAACTCAATGGCACATAACAAGAGCATAATGTTCTTAAGGCTCCACCATGTTGTGTAATGTTTTATGAGTTCACTGGTTTTCCAATGCTGCGTAATATTCCATTTTGTGAATGTACCATCCTTTTTCTATCCATTTGTTTGATGATAGGCACTTGGGTTACTTCTATCTCTTTCCTACTGTGAATAATGCAGCAATAAAAATGTGTGTGCATACATCTGTTTGAGTTGTGGTTCTGGTTTCTTTAGGGCATTATTTCTAGTAGTGGGATTCCTGGGTAAAAAATTACCTTAGAAATTATCAGCACACACATATACACACACAGACATACAGCAAAGAGGACAAGTAAAACGGGAGAAATAAAAATGTTTGGGACTGGGCAGAGTATAAAAGTTTCCCTTTATTTTTAATAGTTGAATGTAAATTGATAATTATCTTAATAAAATTTTAAATTCAAAATTATCAGTGGAAATATTTCAACAAGGGATTAAAAGAATAATTATCCTATTGGGAGAAATTAGCCAGATAAAAACTTTTTATCTGTTTAACCAGCTCCAGTGAGTAACAGAGCTTGAATATGCACTATGAAAATAGAGGGTCATGGTGGTATGCATGGAATATCACCTGTAATTTTCACTAATGGACAGAGAACAAGTCTAGAGAAGAACCAGAAAACACACGAGAGGATAAAGTACCAATCAAAATATATTACAAATATCAACATATAAACCTAGAAGACCTAAAAAAGAGTGCATTTGGAAGATACAGAAACAAAGACCTGCTAGGCAAAGAAGAAGGCTATTACTACTCTTAGTATCAACTCATATTGACCTATTGTTGTTTCCAACTCATAGTGACTCTATAGTGTCTCAGGCAAGTCATCTCAGCATGACAAACTGACAGACGAATGAGTGGTAAGGAAGAAGGTACTTAGGCAAAAATAAGTCCATTAGAATGAAATGCTGACTAAGAAATTTAGGAAGAATAACAAAGAATAATTCTTCCTTTAAGTCAGGGTTTCAAGTCTCCTCCTTTTATAGGGTATCATACAAGCTTAACTTTGAGAAAGGGGCAAAGGTGTCTGAAGAGGACTATTCTAATTGCAATCTTCAATCTAAACAGATGCATTAAAAAATAGAAGTCAATTCAAACTCAGAATGCTCTGCTGCATTCTGAGCTCAATACAATTACTGAGTCTATGTCAGTACTTAATATGCATTATGCGTTAGCTCCTTTAATCTTTGTTCCATCACATTTTATAGAGGAGAAAACTAAAGATGCTAATCAAATTGATTAAGATTATGATAGACTAATGCAAATCTAAGGATGGCTAAATCCAGAGTCTTCTCTCCTAATCTGTACTACAGATTAAAATCCACACAAGGCTCTTATCAGCATATTCTGAAAAGTGAAAGTCGGGAGCGACCTCAAGCAATGAAAGTAAAGAAAGCAGCAGAAAATAGCAGCAAGGTAGCCCAGGAAATAGCACCCTTCCTTGTGGTTCTGATCAGCTCTTATTAAGTTAATGATCTTTACCTTCTGCGTTTCCTGAGAAGGGGATGGTCTAGAAGTTCATCTGCAGTGGGTCTCTGCTCAGGATCCTGAAAAGTAAAAATGGATTAATTTTCATTTAAGGAGAAGAGAATTATGGGACATAAAAAGATATTTATTTCCCCAAAGAAGCTGCAGGTTAATCAGCCAAAGGCCACCATATATATTTCAAAAGAACTGTGGTAGTGCTGAAGAATGCTGAATATGCCATGGACTGCCAAAAGAATAAACTAGAGTGTCTTGAAAAAAGTGCAGTGGGGTTGTCCCTTAGAGGCACGAATGGTATGTCTCACATACTCTGGGCATGTTATGAGGAAAGGTCAAATCCCTGCAGAAAGACATCACATTTGGTAAAGTGCCACTGAAAACAAGAAGGCCCTTAACCACATGGACAACACAGTGGCTACAAGAGGCTCAAGCACAGCAGTGATTATGAGGAAGGCAAAGGACTGCACAGTGTTTCATTTGTTGTGTCCAGGGTTACCAAGATCCAGCACCAAGAGATGGCACCTGACAACATTTTCCAAAAGACATCATTTCTCATGTCATATTTCATGTTAATCATCTTATTATCAGCAACAATTATGCTCAAATAAGGATGACTCCAATATTACCTTCTTCACTTGTCCAATTAGGCAATGGCTCTCAATTATCAATTTATATACCTTACCAGATGGGCCAGTTGGCAGCACCATGATCTATGGAGAAGAGATTGAGGTTGTTAACAATTACAGCTTGCTCGGCTCCACAATCACACTTTTGGCACCAGCAGTCAGGAAATCAAAAGACAAATTGCACTGGGAAAACCTGCTGTCAGAGACCTCTCCAGAGTGCTGAAAAGCAACGATGTCAGTCTAAAGTACACCTAATCCAGGCCATGGTCTTCACAATTACTTGCTATATATCAGAGAACTGGACAGTGACTAAGGATGGCAGAAGAATTGATGCCTTTGAGCTGTGGTGCTGGAGAAGAGTCTTGAACATACTATGGACTACCAAGAAAACAAACCGGTTTTTCTTGGAGAGGGTGAAATGTTTCTCCTTGGAGGCTAGGATTTTGAAGCTCTGTCTCACATACTTTGGGCACGTGGCCAGGAGGGAATGATCCTTGGAGAAGGACATCATGCTTGGAAGTGTGGAGTGACAGCACAGGAGACTAAGACTCTGGATGAAATGGATTGATACAGTAACTGGGGCAATGGGGGTTGTTGTGTCAGAACTAGTGAGACAGGATAGGGAAGGGTTCAGAGCTGCTGTACATGAGGTCACTATGGGTCACAAGCTACTTGACTCAAAGGCATGTAACAACAACAACAACAAAATGATAAGTTGTATAATGTTTGATTGATTGTTTTTTATTTAAACCTCTTCTTTAGAGTCAACAGGACCTGGTGGAGGGCCTTTGTATTTAAGTCAGTTGGGCCTGAAGGCCTGCGGCCTTCATGCCTAGTGTTATTATATTTTGGAGGAACATTCTTCTAAGTGGTATAGCACTGGTCTGTGCATTGCTGTGCAGAGGTAACCTGTGGTTGCTGTGATGTTGAACCCTGTGCCACTACTGTGTAAAATGCCATAATGGTTACCCATGGTGGACTGTGTTTGGTGGAGCTCCCAGATTAAGACAGGTTTGGAAACAGGAGTGGCATCTACTTCCTAAACAACATGTCTCAGAAACTCTATGAACTTAGAGAAACAACAACAATTATAGAACAGGGTTCAGGTCTTCTGTTCACAGGGTCGCTAAGAGTCGTGCCCAACTTGATGGCAAACAACAACATACACATCATATAAGAATCAACAGGAATGTGTTACAAATAGAGACTTCTGAGCTTCCTCTGTAGAATTCTGATACAGACGGTCTGAGGTGGAACCCAGGAAAATTCTTTTTTTTAAAAATTTTAGTATTTTGTGTTTGTGTATGTGTACTGTCAAATCAGATCTGACTAGTACAGGAGGAGATTGCCTCTCCTTTCTTCAGCAAAGCATTTGGTGGACTCGAACCACATGCCTTCAGGATTGTAGCACTGCTTCTTCCCACTAGGCCACCAGAGCTGCCTGAAGCTGCATTTTTAAATTGTACATCCTAGTTCCATCCTCCTCTGATTCTGATGCCATGCTTCTTAGACCACACTTTAAGCTACACTGCAAGGCAACTATGAACTACAAACATACTACACATTAATAACAAAAAAACCCCAAACCTAATGCCATTAAATGGATTCTGATCCAATTTAGCCTGTAGGACAAAGCAGAATTACCTTATAGAGTTTTTAAGACTGTAAATCTTTAAGGACGCAGATAGCTTTCAGCTTTCTCCTAAGTAGTGGCTGGTGGTTCAAGCCTTCTAGTTAGCAGTAGAGTGCTTTAGCCATTGTATCACCACCATGCCTTTCTATACATTAAAATGGGGAAAAAATAGCCAACATTATCAAACTGAATCTGATGCACAGCAAGCCTGCAGCACAAAGCCGAGTTGCTGTACAGAGATTATAAAGCCATAAACCTCTGTGGAACAGCCAGTCTCATCTTCCTCCTTAGGAGCAGATGGTAGGCTTCCATCACTGACCTCTGTTGGCAGCTGAATATCTTAACTACAGCCCCACCAGAGCTTTCTATACATTAAGAACTCTGAATTATCTGAGTGTAATATTAGAAAATCAGTTACATAAATTCATTTTTATTGAAAAATAATGAGCACCACTATACAAATATGTAAATATTAATACAAAGAATAATAGAATTTGTTGGCTGATGTACACAGCTATCTAAATTGCCAAGTTTTATGGATACAGCCTATTTTAAAAGGTACAAATCCATCCTACTCTGGAGAAGCTCTGGTTTTCTATAGGTTCTGGTTTTCTATAGGCTTAACCATTATTAAGTATTATCAAGTCCAGTATAACTCATAGCAACCCTATAAACAATAGATCTGAACCCTGTCCTATCCTGTGCCAACCTCACAATCTCTGACACAACTGAGGCCCACTGCTGCAGTCAATCCACTTGGTTGAGGGTCTTCCTCTCCTTTGCTGTCTGTCCACCTTTCCAATCACGATGTCTTTCTCCATGGAACAGCCTCTTCTAGCAACATGCTCAATGCATGCAAGACAAAGCTTCCCCATGCTTACTTATGGAAGCAACTGGCTTCACTCTCTCCAAGATGTATCTGTTGGTTCCCTTGGCAGGCCATAGATATTCAGTACTCTCCTCCAACACCACAACTTAAGAGTTTATCCATCGTATACAATAAACACTAAGGCTGGAGGGGAGACTAATAAATTAAACATGTAAGCCTCACCTACCTGGTCCAGGCATGAATGAACCATTTGGATCAGTTCCAAAGAATACTGGCTTGAATCAACTTCCATTGCACGGATTCCTTGTACAATCTTCACACACAGGTTGAGTGGATTCTGTAAGAAAATGTTGATGCTGTTATCTCTTGTTACATAAAGACGAGTTTGAAATCTATCAGTAAAACAAACCCATATTCATTTTTGTTGCCTCAATTTCAACTCACAGGGACAGTCTTATCATGTTTCTGAGGCTGTAAATCTTTATCTGAAGAGGCCATGTATCTTTTCTTTCATAGAATGGTTGATGGATTCAAACTGCTGACCTTTTAGTTAGAAACCTAACACTATGCCGTCAAGGTTCCTTCAGTATGGATTCTGAAATGTCTGAGATTATTTCAAAATGGTTAACAGTTGTGTATTAGGTCTGATTTCTTTACTATTAGTATGTATAATCAAGAAATAGGTAGACATGCACTGTTGTTATCAGACTGAAGGACGCCAACTGGGCAGTTTTGGGGTTCAATTTTATGACTCTGTGGTAGTTATGAGTTGTAATTGATGTGACAACATCTAATAACAGTAACAATAAAAGTTGTACAGGCTAAACTCTATTGCAACAGACAAGATGGGGAATAAGGATGATGACAGGAATAACATCATCAACTTTAGGTACCAAGCAGGCATGTTCCATATGTGCTGATCCTTCATAATCCTCACAAACACTATGCAAGGAAATCATCATGTTTGTTCATGTGAAAAAAAGAGGCTCAATTTCTTTCTACTATTTAAGAAAATTAGCTCATATGCAAGAATGTCAGGATTTAGAAAAAGAAACAGGTTTCATGAAAGGCACATTTCTATTATCTTTCATTTTCATATACATTTTTCAGAACATCTCGGAAAAAAAGATGATAAAGAAACAGGATTAAAGGGATGGAATGATTTGCCTAAGCTTTCACACCTGGGTTTTTTTGGATCCTAGATATAAATCCACTTTGATTACTTAAATAGTGTCTGCCTCATGGGCCAGAAGAATTAGCATCACTTGGGAGCTTGTTACAAATACAAAAACTTCACCCTAGTACTTCATGAAGAAGAATGTGACATCAGGATGGGAGGAAGCCTCAATAACCTGTGTTATGCAGCGGACACAACACAAGTTTATAATCTTTCTTGTTAAAAGTGAGCAGACCTTGAAACCTTGCTACAGAAGATGAAAAACTATAGCCTTCAAAAACAGTATCAATATCAAGAAGACAAAAATTCTCACCATTGAGCAGATAGGCAACATCATGATATTCGTTGTTGTTGTTATGTGCCATCGAGTCGCATGTGACTCATAGTGACCCCTGTACAAGAGCCCTAAACGCCGTTCTATCCTGTGCCAACCTAGCTGTCTTAAACACATTCATTCCCAGCACTCCACTCACAGAATCGATCCGTCTCATCGAGGGTCTTCCTCTCCTGTACCGTCCCTCAACTCTCCCAAACATGATGTCCCTTTCCAAGGTCCAGTCCCTCCTTGCAACATGCCCAAAGTATGCCAGACGAAGCTTCAGACTCCTTGACTCCAAGAAGCATTCCGGCTTCACCTTCTCCAGGACAAACCTGTTTGTTCTCCTAGCAGTCCATGGTATATTCAATACTCTTCTCCATCACCACAATTCAAAGGCATCAATTATCTTTCTATCATCCCTATTCACTGTCCAACTCTCTGACACATAGCATGTAATTGCAAAGACTACAGCCAGGATCAGGTGCACCTTAGTCTGCAGCCTGACATTGCTCTTCAGTACTCTTGAGAGATCCCTCACCACTGACTTTCCCAATGCAATTTGTCTCTTGATTTCCTGGCTGCTGTTACCAAAAGTGTGACTGTGGAGCTAAGTAAACTAAGACTGTTAACTATCTCAATCTCTTCATCATCCACACTGATGCTGCCAATTGGCCCAGTGGTGAGAATCTTTGTTTTCTTGATGTTGAGCTTCAATCCATATAGGAGGCTGCAGTCCTTGACCTTCTGCAGCAAGCGCTTCAGGTTCTCCTCAGTTTCAGCAAGCAGGGTTGTGTCATCTGCGTAACACAGGTTGTTGATGACTCTTCCACCAATCCTGACGCCACATTCCTCCTTGTACAACCCAGCGTCTTGAATGATCTGTTCTGCATACAGATTGAAAAGGTATGGAGACAGAATACATCCCTGATGAACCCCCTTCTTGATTTTGAACCATGTAGTGTCTCCTTGCTCTGTTCTGACGACTGCCTCTTGGTCCAACTATAGGTTTTGCATTAGCACAACCAAATGTTCTGGGATTCCCATTCTTCTCAGAGTCAGCCACAGCTTGCTCTGATTCACAGTCAAAAGCCTTTGCATAGTCAATGAAGCACAGACAGACATTCCTCTGGTATTCTTTGCTTTCTGCCAAGATCCATCTAACACTAGCTATAATATCCCTAGTACAATGACCTCTTCTAAATCCAGCCTGCACGTCTGGCAGTTCTCTGCTGACATATTGTTCCAAACGTTTTTGGATAATTTTCAGCAGAATCTTGCTTGCATGTGATATTAATGATATTGTTCAATAATTTCCACACTCCGTTGGGTCACCTTTCTTTGGGATGGGAACAAATATCGATCTTTTCCTGTCAGTCGGCCAGCTGGCTGTCCTCCAGACGGAGAAAAAACTGAAACTGTCAATGGCTACATCTTATTTGGATCCACCATCAACACCCTTGGTACTAGAGTTAAGAAATCAAATAATGTGTTGCATTGGGGAAGTCTGCTATCAAGGACCTCTCCAAAGTACTGAGGAGAAATGATGTCAGTTTAAAGACTAAGGTGCTCCTGATTTATTCAGGTCATAATATTTCTAATCACTTGTTATGCATCTGAGAACTGAACAATAAATAAGGATGACAGAAGAATCAATACCTTTGAAGAAGAGTACTGACTATCCCAGGGACTGCCAAAAGAACAAACAGATGTCCTGGAGAAGGTGTACCCAGGGTGCTCCTTAGCGGTAAGGCTGGTGAAGCCTCATCTTACATACTTTGGGTATGCTATTTGGAGGAGCTATTTCTTGGAAACGGACATGCCTGGAAAGGTGGAGGGTCAGTGAAAGAGAGGAAGACCCTCAATGAGATGGAATGACACAGTGACTGCAGTCAGGGGTTCAAGTATGTTGGAGACGGTAAGGGTAACACAAGATAGATTCATGATTCAGGTCTCTTGTTCACAGGGCTGCTGAGTCATACTTGACTTGATAATCCCTAACAAGAGTAACAACCCTAGTATTAAAAGAATCTACACTTTAATAAAACTCTAGGTAATTTTTTTTTAAATCCATGTGAGAAACATTGCTTTAGAAGCGGTTTTTACTTCAAAAATAAATGACAATTTAAAAAAAAATTTTATTATTTTTTGTGTGTACCGTCAAATTAGATCTGACTGGTACAGGAGGAGATTGTACCTCCTTTTCCAGCAGAGCATCTGGTGGATTTGAACCATGTACATCTGGGACTGCAGTGCAGCTTCTTGCCACTAGGCCACCAGAGCTCCCTATGACAACTTTTTAAAAAAAAAACTATCAACGCACTTAAATGGGTCTTATACAATTAGTCTTAGCTTAAAAAAAAAGATGTACCTTAAATTCAGAATGAAATTATAGATACTAAAGCATCACATAGTTAACAATACAGTTTAATAAATATGGTTAACAAATTCAAACTCAGTGCTCAAGCTACTTATCATTCTCATGGTGTATTCAAGTAAGAGTAGTGTTGGGCTACTGTAGTTCAATAACAAAGTACAAATTCAGTACCTGAATACCGGCTATTTGTGCCTTGAGTTACTTTTTTGTTCAAGTCAGAAGCATGGGTATAAATGAAGTTGATTTTCTTTTAGAAGGACAATATGGAGATAATACATACTTACCGTTGCATCAAATGTCCTCTTGAGCGTTAACAGTTCAAAAATAACGCAGCCTACTGCCCAGATATCAGATTTGAAATTATATTTCACTCCCTGGCAGAGCTCTGGAGACATATAGTATGGAGTTCCCACAAGCTGCATAACAACAAAGAAACAATCAAAGGATAATTTCGTTTCTGAGATAACTGTATTAACAATTCAACAGTGAAGTTCAATTTCTCAGTGAGAATAACCATAAAAAAATTCATCAACAGATCAAAACTTATTTTTACAAGGTGATAGTACTATAAGAAGAAATCTTATTTCTACCAAATTTCTTGGCATAAAGGGATAATCTCTGGGGTTAAGGCACTGTGGTAAACTGGGAGAGGTAATATCTCTTTGATTGCTAGATCACAAGGTTTGAGGTCTTCAGGGTCCAGTGAAGACTTCCTACAAATGTATAGTGAAGCCTATGGGAACTGAGACTTTATGGACTGTCTTGTTTTTCCAGGTCTTGGACGTTTTCTGCACTTGACAGTTGCCACTTTATTACTGCTCTCTATACTGTGGAAAAGAATGCAATTGTCCTTCTTTTTTCAAGGTAACTTTTTAGTTCCACCTTTTTCCTACTATATAAGTATCAGTTTACCAACGGGAGGAAAAAGCCCCCAACAGTGGCAATGGGGAAGATCAATCAAATGAAGTTAAAATTTCTAAGTAAAATGTCCATAGTAAGATAAACCTTTTAAAAATGTACCAATGTGGCATTTGTACTAGTTACACTAATATAGCTAGTTAATTTCTTCCAAATTTGGATAAAAAGCTTTCTTATACCAGATGCTCCGCTGGAGAAGGGGAATTTCCTCCTGTGCCAGCTGGATCTGAACAGACAGAAAGGGGAAAAAAAGTACTTTTTCTAACTTCAAGAATGGGCTTAGAAATAAAGGAACTGAATGAAAATCAGGCTTTTGTCAAGATGATGGACAATGAACTGTCCCAGCAGTTCTAATAAATCTGACAGCCATCTTTAATCAACAAAAAGCAAAGACATTTTCAGATGGCTTACATGGAATTTTAAATATTTCATTCCTTGCATATAACTGGTTATAATAATAGTCAAGTCTTGCTTTTTATCAGATTGTTCTTGATGAAAAGAACCCATATAAGGACATGATTGCTTCCTTAGAAGCTCAATTTGGCCACCAGCACTCAAAAAGACTAAGTCCCTGAAGCAGAGACTCCCAACCCTGGTTCATTAACATCCGTAGACGTTTCTAAATGGCTTGCAGGCATATCTTGACATTATCAAAACACAACATCAAGACAGAATGATTTAATTAACTTACATCCTTGAGTTCTTTTAAGGGCAGAGTATTGTGAAGGCAGAGGAGTAATAATTGAGCTTTACAATTCCTAAAAAGATGAGAGCTTACTTGTTTTAAGTTATATCAACTCTTTATCAATAGTCTGTCTCAAGATCAGGTGAGAAGGGAGCCCTGCAGTTCAGACTGTATATGGTATTAAGACAAACTGTTCTCTGGCATCAGTCTTTATTTATAATATAGGATTTTCTCTCTGAACAAGAAACATGCAAAGAAAACACAACCAAGAGAAACACTGCATCCTGAGCTTACGCATTAAGTAAAAGATAAAGTAAGATATAATATAGCTCCCAGGCTAAGAAAAAACACACACCAGAAAACATCTTGAGGCTTGCCTAGTAGACAGAAAGTTATGCTACCAGGCCCAAGGTGGGTGATTTTAATCTCCGGCCCTCAGGTCTGGTTTAAATTGTTTTTTGTCAAACATTCTTCTAAGTGGTATAGCACTGGACTGTCCATTTGCTGTACAGAAGTAATTTGTGGTTGCTGTGATGCTAAACACTGTGACACTGACGTGCCAAATGTGATAATGGTTACCCATGGTGGACAGTGTTTGGTGGAGCTTCCCAATTAAAACAAGCTTGGCAGCAAGAGTGGCATCCACTTCTAAAATGGCTTGCCTCCAAAAACTCTATGAACAGTGCTCAGGTCTTTAGTTCATAGGGTCGCTGTGAGTTGTCTACGACTCGATGACACTTAACAACAACAGTGTGAGTTAAGGACACCTATGATGGCAGAGTTAAAAGGTGAACAGTGACCCTGCTAGTGAGCTCAGGAAAATGACTTCTGAGGAGTTGTTATATAAATATGGAGAATTTGCAAAAATTCTGAGAACAGTGTGCACAACTTAGGGAGTAGAGTTTTATTTCAGTGCCAAAAAAAACACGTTAAAACAAGGGCAACATCTACTCACCGTCTCAGCCATGGAATATTCAGAATTAAGTTTCTTTGCGAGGCCATAATCTCCAAGTTTGATCAGGTTTGCTTTGGTCAAAAAAATATTTAACGTCTTTATGTCTCTGAAAAAGAAATGGTATATATTAAACCCATATAGTCAACTATTTTATCCAATCCCAAAACTCATGCAGGATTATTATAAAATAAAGATGAGTGTGACACCACTGCTCAGATTCTCTTCCAGGAGCCCACACTTTCCAATCAGGGGTCATCATTTATATACACAATTAGACAGTGGAAACAGACACTTAGGAGGGAAGCAGGCAGAGAATAAACTTTTCGAAGGTTTCACAGCACAGAAATGTCTCCCTTTCTACTAAAGCCAATTAAAATAGTTGAAAGGGTCACATGAAGAAAATCATGTTCCAAGTAACCATCATTCCTGAGACACACTGCTAGATTCAATGATAAAGGCAATTTTAACACTTGGTTCACTGTCAGAGTTTCAAATAATCTGTTAGGGCAAAACAACAGGCTAGAGTTGAAGTAGGCTGTTTAGATTATCCATTATAAGTCTCTGGCTACTTTTCTAAAGATTAATTGGCCATGTACAATACAAAATAAATTATGCCTTGTTCATACTCTAGCTTATAATGGCCTCTGCTATGACCACAAACAAATGTACTCAGGAAGATATGAAAAAATTTGACAATTAACTATGAAAAATAAGCTTATTTAAATTAAAAGAATATACAACTGATATTTTATTTTCATTATAATTATTTTTATGTAATTACTGCCTAGACAAATATATTACTGTGAATTCTACACAATCAAGTTGCACTTCTAATAGTGATTTGTAGGCTTTGTGGATGAATTGATAAACTGAACTTTAATATGTCTGCAAAAAAATGGTTGAGAGGTATTCAGGTATTGAGATTCTTCTTAGATCACAAACATGGTTTAATCTCAGGAAGTGAAGATAACACCCCCTATTACTCATTCTTTCCTTTCTAAATTACACAAAAGGAAAAGCTTTCATCAAGAAAGTAAAAGTACCAGGATGGGGGTCAGACTGGTGGGAAGGAGCTGACCCTTTAAACTCCATTCACTTATTACCTATGTAGAATTCCAGCTTTATGGATGCAGCTCACAGCTGAAACAATCTGAAATAGGTACCACACCACCATCTGCAGAAATGAAATAAATGCTATTTGGGTTTGGATGCAAACAAACAATAAACTTCCACTTAAATAAATACACATACATACACAGACAAAAAAACATAGGATGTTGCAACCAGATGTTATGGTTTACTACAACTTGACATCTCTTGCCTGAGTAGATAAAGAAAAGTAGTAGAAATAAGAAGAAAAAGGAGGTCATCATAAAATACAGTATGGTTTGTGGAAAGCAGCTTTGGGGAATGAAACACAGGAATAGTGCAAAGGTATAGAAAACTGGGCATACCAGTATGTAGTAAGAGAACCAGGAAAAAACCCAGAGAGAATCATGATGTGGAGGTAAAATGTTTAGGAAGCAGATATAGACAGCTTCCTTTCTGGAAGTTTCCCTTTTCATGAATATCAATCAGAGCCTGGAAAGAATCTGAATAAAAGGGAAAAAACTCTTTACTGTTGAAAGAGTAAATATAGAACTAAAGTGCAAGAAGCACATTTTATAATTCTGGATTTCTTCTACAGAAACATAATTACCTCTTCTTCAAACAACTTGTCCTTCTGACGAAGGATTTTGTCATACAGGTTCCCTCCTGCAAGTAAACCAGAAAGAGGACTTATTCAGAGACAGTCTGAAATGTTTAGCAGCTACGAAAGCCTGGGTCCTGGAAGTAATGAGGTAATGACAAAAGAAAATGAGAGGTTCTGCCTCCATTCCAAAGAAAGCCTCTTCCCTTCTTGACTCTTCACCTAGGAACAAAACTCTTCTCATTTCTCAAGGTCTATATCAGAAATATCTTTCAAAGAGTCTCCTTCCTAAAAGAAAAAGCCCAATTAAAAAAATGGGAGGTGTGCCATTTTAGAGAAGAGGAAGTAAAAATCACTTCTAGAATTTTCAATTAGTGACATTTATTGAGTGCCTCTGAAATCAGATTATTTTCTCTGCTAGAACTTTTTATTTTACTTTGTTATTTTTGTGCGTGTGTACCGACTGGTACAGAGGGAGACTGTCCCTCCTTCTCCAGTAGAGCATCTGGTGGATTTGAACTGTGCACCTCTGGGATAGAACTCTTTTTTAAGGAATCTGCAATATATCTGTAATAATTCTTCCAGTGTGACTGCTAGAACAGCAGAGTTACACTTGTGATGCACTGCTTTCTATACAGAAGGTACACGTGTATATCATTAACAACTTCTTTTTCTACTTCTCATTGAAAAAGTTTTCCCAAATTTGGAATCTACTCATAAGTTGCTTCCAATCATTACTCCCTTTATAAATTCCTTCCAGCTGAATTTACTTCTTCCTTTCCTTTTTCAAATTCTTTTTATTAGGTGCTGTGGAGTTGACATTAACACATAATACAACATCTCTAGACCTTGCCTGATGCTGTGTCATTTTTAATCTCTACTGTGTTTAAGTCTATTGTTGCTGTCACCATGTCAATCCATCTCATTAAGGGTCCTTCTCTCTTTCTCTGACCCTTCACCTTTCTAAAGCATGATGTTCCCTTCCATGATGTTCCTTGGACTAGATTCTTCTGCTATGTCCACAGTGTGAGAGACAAAGTCTCACCACCTGTGCCTCTAAGAAACACCTTGGCTGCACTTCTTCCAAGTATCAGGTATTATAGACTATAAAACATCAAGCTTTGTCTAACTTCCTACTTGCAACTCTAAGTCTTGGCTAAGTTTTACAACTTCTCTTCCTGTGCAATTTAGAAACTCAAAGTTTCAATAAGTGTATCATTTTCTTTAGTTCCTCCTAACCACAGAGGAAGTTAACTTGAGGCTTAGGTTACTTCAAAATCTCTTATCACAATTTCATACAGTTAGGGTTAATCAGAATCTGAAATAGTCCCAACACTGCGCATCTAGACAAGAAAGTCAGAGATCTAGAGCTTTCTCTTAAAGAGGGAGGTGAAAGAATATGCTCCAATCTCCTTCGCATGCACCTCGCGAAAAGATTTTGGTGGTTTTCTGGTGCAATAAGAAGAGTAATAGCTAAGTACTGTATGTACAAACACTGGCTAAATATTAATTCATTTACTACAATTACCCTAGAAGACAATATTACTAACAAACTCTTTGGGAAACTGAGGAATAGGGAGATTTAAGTTTTTTGTCCAAGTTTATAGTCCTTAGGATACGGATTGAGAGTATTCTCTTAAGAGGTATGTAAAGCTGTTATCTTATCAAGCAATGTCCAAAGAAATCAGACAAACATAAATAAGGTCAAGCTTTACTATGTATCGTTTTTAGTCAGTTAAGATTTTTTTTACCAATTTTTTAATAGAACTGTTAGTTTCAGCTAAAGTCAATATAAGCATCATCTGTAAGAAAAAAAAAATTACCTGTTAAGATTTCTCTGAAACTGTATCAGCAGGACTAGACCACAGTTGCTAATGTCTGACAAATGTAATTTCATGAAAAACAAAAGCTTTAAAAATGAATATAGGCGAGCTCTGGTGGCCTAGTGGCAAGAGACTGCACTGCAATCTCAGAGGTACACGGTTCAAATCCACCAGATGCTCTGCTGGAGAAGGAGGAACAATCTCCTCCTGTATCAGTCAGATCTGATTTGACGATACACACAAAAAATAATGAAATAAAATTTTTTTTAAAAAAATGAATATGAAATCTAACTGAAGATAGAGCTGTAATCACAGGGAGAATTTAACTATACAGAGGAAAAACAATTCCCCTTATTTTGTACATTATTTCAAAACTCTCCAGGACTTGAACCATTTGTCTTAAACTCTAGCAAAATGTTTACGATTTTCATACCATATATGCCTTTTCTTTTTTCTCCCCTCAAGGTAAGCATGACTGTCTTGTTGGAGGAAGTCTCCTGAATTCTACCTTACCATTACAGTACTCCAGCTCAATCAGAAGGGTGGTGTTGTCCATGAAGTGATTGTAGTAGGCAATAATGTTGTCGTGCTGCAGGAGCGCCAGAATAACAATCTCATTCAAGGCATCACGACGCTCCTTCTCAGACAGTCGGGTCAAATCGACTTCCTTCCATACAACCAGTGAGTCATCCTACAACAAAGTAATAAAGATGTAGTGCTTTCCTCTCATCTGGCAATGAATGAATCCACATTAGGCTGACAAACCTAAGCGGGCAGAGATTGGCTTCTTTTAATCTTTCCTTTAAAAGAACCATGAACATCACCCAAAACAGGAAGATGTTGTTACTCTGCTGCCCACTTAATCTGCATGATGTCAGTTCCAGGTAAAAACATGGGATGGGAACAGTCATGTAAATGGAAACTACTGGTCTCTTCCTGTTCAGCGTAAAGAAAATCAAACACTTAAGGAAACAATCAGTCCAAATGAATCACATGAACCACAGCTTCAACTTGTTTAGAAGCAGAACCCAGTGCTGCCCTGCTGCCTCCCTCAACACCTCCGATGAAGAACACCATGAAAGGTCCTGGACAGACTGGCACAAATACTCCCATTGCCTCCAAGGGAGAATCGACTCATAGCGGACCCTCTGGTGATTTCTGAAGCTGTAAAGCAAATGGGAAGTTCTCTATTGTTCTCCCACTGTACAGCTGGTAAATTCAAACCACCAGAGAGAGACCTGCTGCTTTAGGATTTGCAGTACAACTCCCTACCAACTTTCCCACCAAAGCATTCATGACATCTAAGTAGAAAAAATTTCAAAAAGGATGAGATTTAATGGTCTGACAGAGACTGAAAGAAACCCCTTAAGACACCCTTCAAACCGGAACCTACTTCTTGAAGACCACCTTTCACACAAACAAGAGACAGGTCTATCAAGTGGACAGTAACACGTGTGGAATGTTCTCCCCAAAACAATCAACCACATAAGACCAGAGGGACAGGATTTACCTCTGAAAAGGTTCAAAAGGCAGGAAGGTGCAGGAGAAATGGGCAAAGAGAATTGGGAAAAGGAAATGGGAGCAGAATAACATTGTTACATTGTTGTTATGGTTATGTGCCATCAAGGTGCCTGCCACTCATAAGGTTCCTATGCACAACTGTTCTGAAGCCTGCCCTGTTCTGAGCCAGTCTCACTCTGACACATCTACTCCCATTACCCCAGTTACTGTACCATCTCATCCGGGGTCTCCCTCTCCTGCGCTGTCCCTCCAACCTTCCGAGCATCATGTCCTCCAAGGACGTCTTTTCTGGCCATGTGCCCAGAGTACATGAAAGGGAGCTTCAAAATACTAGCTCCAAGAAGAAACCTAGTTTCACCCTCTCCAAGACAGACCTATTTGTTTTTTTGGTGGCCCATGATATGTTCAAGCCTCTTCCCTAGCACCAAAACTCAAAGACATCAATTCTTCTTCCGTCATCTTTATTCACTTCACTGTCCAGCTCTCTGATACATAGCAAATAATTGCAAAGACCATGGCCTCGATCAGGTACACCTTAGTATCTAGACTGACACTGTTGCTTCTCAGTACTCTGAAGAGGTCTCTGACAGAGGATTTACCTAATGCAATTTGTCTTTTGATTGCCTAACTACTGGTGCCAAAGTCGTGTTACATTAAGGGGGCTGTAATTGTCATGAAACAAAAATGTATCTAAATTGCTGAAGTTATCAAGCTAACTTTCTCTGTTAACTTTCAATTCAACCACAATGAAATATTCCAGAAACAAATCAAACAAACAGGATATGGGAATACACCTCCAAGGTGCTGCTGAAAAGCACTATGATGCTACTTCTCATGGTGAGGACTGTGGTTGTTAGGTGCTGCTGAATCGAGCACAACTCATAGCAACCTTATGAACAACTGAAGAACTGAACCTTGCCCCATTCTGTGCCATCCTCAGCATCTCTGAGATATATATATATATATATTCAAACCCAGTGCTACAGTCACTGTGTCAATGCATCTTGTTGAGGATTAGAGTCTTCCTCTCCTATGCTGACCTCTCACCTTCCACAGCATGATGTCTTTTCCCAAAGAACAGCCTCTTCTACCAACATGTGATGTCCAAGATATGTGAAGCAAAGCTTCATAAACAATCCCCCAAGAAACATTCTGGTTGTACTTTCTCCAAAACATATCTGTTTGTTCTTTTGGAAGTCCATGGGATATTCAGTACTCTTCACCAACATAATAGATTTTTCTTCTATCATCCTTATTCATTGTTCAGCTCTCAGATGTATAGGAGACTGGAAAGGCTGTGGCTTGACTTTGGAGAGGTGCCTGACAGTGGACTTTCCCAATACTTTAAGTCCCCTGATCTCCTGACTGCTGGTACCCCAGATACTGACTATGGATCCAAGATGAAATCACTGACAATTTCAAACTTTTCTCCTTCTATTATGATGTTGTCTCTTGATCCAGTGGTGAGGATTTTTGTTTTCTTGATATTGATATGTAATCCACATCAAAGGCTGCAGTCCTTGATCCTCTGCAAGCGCTTCAGGTCCTCCTTATTTGAGCAAGTAAGACTGTATCATCTGCATAATACAGGTTGTTGATGAGCCGTCCTCCAACCCTGATACCATAAAAGTCCAACTTCTCAGATGATATGCTCAGGCTAAGACTGAAAATGTATGGAGAGAGGCTACAGACCTGACATACTTTTCTCTATTTTAAACCATGCAGTGGTTCCATGCTCTGTTGATCAAGACAACAGCTTCTTGGTCTGGGTATACATTTCACGTAAGCATAATGAAGTCTTCTGGAACTCCCATTCTTCTCAAGGTTAACCATAGTTTGTTATGATACATATAGTCAAATGCTTTTGTATAGTGAATTTTTAAAAAAAGCAGAAATCCTGGTATTCTCTGCTGTCAGCCAAAACCCATTTTGATCTTATGGGATTATAGGAGGGCCAGAAGACTGGAGAAGTAGAGAACTGGAGAGTAGTTTCTTGGTTGTTGTGGTGTACTGTGGAGTCAGAGCTGACCCACATCTGACCCACCAGCTGGGTCTTCAGAGGCAGTAAATCACACAGGAGACTGCCTGCCTGCCTTTCTCCTGTGAAGCAGTTGGTGGATTCGCACTGCAGACCTTTGGGTTGGCAGCACAATTCCTTACCACTAAGCCACCAGAGCTCTCTTTCTATAGCCGACCATAAATTTTAAAAAAGAAAGTAATTTGCTTTTACAAATTTAGACTTCATTTTCTAGATTGTGTTTGTTGTTGTGAGCTGTGAGGAAGTTGATCTTGAATGTTGACCCTATAACCAATAGCATCAGGCCTTTTACTATCAAGTGCTTAGATGATCGAGGCCTTTCTTCCTAGTCTTAGCTTAACACTGCTTCTGAAAATGGTTTCACATCACAGCAATGAACTATCATGGAAGGCAAGAATTCTATCATCGAACCACAACTGCCCTCAAGGGCTGAATACCCTCCCTCACTCTGACCTACTCTAGAACTGCGCATCTTGTGTCATACTTCCATGCTGTGTACACGTTCTCTTCTACCCATGAAAACTTAAGTCCATTAAAAAAAAAATTTCAAAAAACTCCACAAAGCTCATGTCCAATGTCTACTCCCTTTTATGATGTCCTTAATTCTTTACTAGCACTACTCCCCAACCCAAGATCCCTGCCTGAATTATCCTCTCCATCCTTAAACCCTTGGACTTACCCTATATGCACATAAACCTGACAATGAATTAAAAAAAAAAATCCAAGGAATAAAACTAAGACTTTATGCCTCTGAATTACGGACAAATCTGTTTTAGAAGAGGTGCAGCCAGAGTGCCCCTTACAAGTAAGAAGGGCGAGGCTTCATCTCATATACTTTGGACATGAACATGCTTGGAAGAGGGTAAGGGGGAGACTCTCCAATGAGACGGAAATTGACACAATGGCTACAACAATGGACTCAAATATAGCAACTCTCATGAGGACGACACAGGACTGGACAATGTTTCCTTCTGACGTACACTGAGTACCTGAGTCAGAATCAACTCAATGACAGCCCACGGCAGCATCCTTAAGCAATGGCTGGGCCAGCCCTGTGTAGAAAGCAAAACTCCTTATGGCACACTGATTCAATGTAACCATTCTCTTCATTTGAAGAGCTCATACAGTAAAACCATCTTTGTCCAAATAACTTACATAAAAATAGATATTACTGGGGAGCTCTGGTGGCCTAGTGGCAAGAAGCTGTACTGCAATCCCAAAGGTACATGGTTCGAATCCACCAGATGCTCTGCCGGAGAAGGAGGGACAATTTCCTCCTGTACCAGTCACATCTGATTTGACGGTACATGCACAAAAAATAATAAAATAAAATTTAAAAAAAATAGGTATTACTTAAAACTCTTTTTTCCCACTAACATGTTCACTTGGTTCCAACTGGGCTCTACCATGATAACATGAGTGGTGGCACTTACAATCAAAAAGAACACTTAACAAATATCCTTACGCAACCAACTCTTTCCTTGTCCATCTGTCAGCCGTCAGTGTGCTGGCCTGAAACACACATAAGAACTGCAGATGGATCACTGAGAGATGAATTCCCTACAAAAAGATCTTTAGTAACCATAGCAGAGTCTCACTAAATGTCAAACTATTCTAAAACAACAATAACATACTATGACAGGTTTGGAAGCAGGAGTGGCAACCACTTCCTAAACAACATGCCTCCAGCAACTCTTAAGAACTTTGGTAAGTGTTGATAGTTGTAGAGGGGCTTCAGGCCTTTTGTTCACAGGGTCACTGTGAGTCCTGCTTGACTCCAAGGCAATCAACAACAACAACATCATTCTAAACGTGGTATTAAAAAGCCTTTTGTCATCAAGCCCAGTCTGGGGTTAGTTTTGGAAGCAAGAGTTACCACTACAGGGTTGTAGGTCAGTGAGCACCCTTACGCTGGAGTTCAGGGGTGATCTGCGAGTTCCTTAAAGGACGTGTTGTTGTTGTTGTTAAGTGCCGTCGAGTCGCAGGCGACTCATAGTGACCCTATGAAGGAGAGTCCTCGACGCTTGGGTGCCTTTCATCCTCTCTCCAGGTTCATAGGGTTTCTGGAGGCAAGCTATTATGGAAGTGGATGCCACTCCTCCTTCCACTTAAAGGATGTAGACAGTTCAAATATAGACTTAAAGGGACTGCGGATGGGAGTTTACTTTGAGCCCATAAGGTTTTCAAAGATTCCTTCGTCCAAAGATTAAGCACTATTGGCTTCTAACAGCAAGGGAGTATTTCTTGTGCATGAATACTACCAGGTAAATACAGATGAAAAGTCCACACAGTACTACTTCCCAGTGACCTTCCAGAACCATCTCCGACTGAGTATTCCTAAGTGAACTGGCAGACAATGCACACGCGGAGCTGTCACCGGTGTGGGCCCCTGCAGCCAAGCCCTTCCTTAGCCTGCCCTCGCCGAGAGGAAGTTTTGCTAATACCGCACACTCGTGCACCATTTTAATTTGCAGACTGCACATGACACTAGATTCTTAAAAAAAAAGATCTTTAAAAATAATAAAGGTCATGACGACTGTTGGTGAAAGGGGTCATCATTTCTAGAAGATGGGGAACTGAGGTTCGCTGGGGTTCGGGGACTTGCTCGTTTGTCCCGCGCTAAACAAAAAACCGAGCCAGTGGGAAAAGCAGCGACAGAGGGTTCCCCGTGCACGTGAGGAGGAGGAAGAGGGGGGAGGAAAGCCGGGGACGCGTGGCCTGCGGGCGCCCCAGCACCACGCGGGGCTGCGGACGGCGGCGGGGCTGCGAAGCGGGGTCGGGAGGGGCCGGGGCCGCTACCTCGGTGCGGCGGTACAGCGTGGCCTCCCCGAAGGCGCCGCGGCCCAGCACGCGGATGGGGATGTAGTGCAGCTCCTCCTGCTCCGCCGCGCTGCCTCGCGGCCCTGGACCGCCTCCGGGGCTCGGGCCCGAGTCCCCGCCGCCCCCGGACTCGCTCCCAAAGTCCGAGTTGAGAGAATCGCAGTGTCGCTCGTATTCGCCCAGGACCGACATGGCAGCAGCCGCGGGCCTTCGGGACCAGCCTGCGGGACCGACCTGCCGGCCCCACTGCGGCTCGGGCCGCGCGGCAGCTCCCTCGCTTTAGACACCGGCCCACGGGTCCGCCAGCGTCGTAACCCCGCGAGGCTCCATGGTGGCGCCTTTCCGCCGACCCGGAAGCACTTCCCCGCGCTTCCGGCCCCGTTTGGTTTGCCGTCTCGGTTAGTCCGGCCGCTCCGGCATCCCGCCTTCGGGGCGGGCCATGGGAGTGAGCCCTTGAGCTCTCGTCGGCGACCGCGTGGCGCTGACTTCGTGGTCCTGGGGGTTCCTGCTGGGGTCCGGGCGGCCCCGCTGGGGTCTTAACGTGGCTGCGACTAAACCCCGTGCAGCTTTCAGCTCCAGGGGTCACCTTGTCTCCTCTGGGCGCCAGGTCCATACCTCCGAAGCATTGGTTGAAAATGCAGCTGCTTCCATGTTGGACAGCTCTCTTTGCTTGAATGATACTAATTATGTTGTTATTAGTTGTCATCGAGCTAATTCCAGCTCTTGTCGACTCTATGTTCAGAAACACATAGGGGGAGCTCTGGTGGCCTAGTGGCAAGGAGCTGCAACTATAATCCCAGAGGTGCACGGTTCAAATCCACCAGATGCTCTGCCGGGGAAGGAGGGACAATCTCTTCCTGTACCAGTCAGATCTGACTTGACAGTACACTCACACAAAAATAAAGTAAAAAAAAAAATTTTTTTTTAAAAAAGAAAGAAACACATAGGTCTCTAAGGTTTTCGAAGCCGTGACCTTTGGAATGCAGATTGCCAGGCCGGCCCTCCGAGGCGCCTCTGAGACACATTCAGCTGACAGTGGAACCTCTTAACTTTGTACCACTCACGGAAAGGAATTATGCTGTTGTGTGCCGTCACACTGCTGACCCTCCAGCAGATTTCCTGAGGCTGCAAAAATCGCACGGGAAGAGATTCCCCTTCTTCCTCCCTCAGAGCACCTGGAAGATTCAAACCAGGGCCTTTAGGTTGGTAGTGCACCGCCTTATCCCTAAACCATCAGAGCACCCTAAAGGAATTATGTTGTTGTGTGCCATCAGGTGGGGACTGACTCTTAGCTGACCCTCCACCGGGTCCTCATAGGCAGTAAATAGCACGGAGGAGACTGTCCATCTCTCTTCCTTGGAGCAGCTGGAGCATTTGAACCGCATGTGTTTGGGGTTGCAGCTCAGCTTCTTACCTCTAGGCCACCAGAGCTCCCTACACTAATTATAAGAAGCCAAGATTTGGCTGTGTTATCCCAGCCAGACCATTCTTTCTCCCAGAATGACCCTGAGATGTGACCTACCACCCTCATTCATGCATTGCCAAAACCAATTTCCCAAATAACATGACACATAGTGTGTCTTTTATAAAAATTTAACTTTTTTTTGGGGGGGGGTGCTTCCCGGCTCTTCAACCATCTGATCGCGTGGGACATTCTTTGAACACTAGGTACCGCACATTGTGACAATAATAAAACTGCAATAAGATGTTCTATGTCCTCAGTCTATAACGTTGTAGGAATATGCCCTTCATTACAAGGACACTGAAGACCTGGCACAAGAGCACTGGTAGCTTAGTCTTTACTGAGTTGCCCTGTTAATCTGAAAGTAGTCCCCAGCTGGCAGTTTGAATCCACCAGCAGCTCTGAGACAGAAAGATAGACAATCTCCTATGGGATTTACAGCCTCTGAAAACCTGCTGGAGAGTCAGCTATGAGTCGGTTCTGACTGGACAGCAATGAGTTTTGAGCAGTGGTTATGTCCTAGGCATTATGAAAGTTTTTTTGTGTATTGTCATGGGTTGAGTTGTGTCCCCTTGGAATACACATACTTAATGATGTCATCTTCCTCCATACCTATTCAGCTGTATGCCGAAAAGCTTGGCTATATGAAGAAGAGTGTGGCATCAGGATTGGAGGAAGATTATCAACAATCTGCATTATGCAGATGATATAAACTTGCTTGGTGAAAGTGAAGAAGACTTGAAGTACTTGTTGCAGAAGATTAAAGACTACAGCCTTCAATATGGGTTCATCTCACCATCAAGAAAACAAAAATTCTCAACACTAGGCTAATAGGCAACATCATGATGGATGGAGAACTCATTGAAAGTGTCGGTTATTTTTTTTACTTGGATCTGCAATCAACACCCATGGTAGCAGTAATCAAGAAATTTTTTAAAAAATTATGCTGCTTTGAAGAAATCTACTGTCACAAACTTCTTTAAAGTGCTAAAGTGTAAAAATATCAGTTTGAGGATTAAGGTGAAACTGATCTAAACCATGGTATTTTCTATTGCTTCATATTCATGTGAAAGTTGAACAGTGAATAAGACCAAAAGAGTCACCCATGTCTTTTCTTTGAATTGTGATGTTTTCAAAGAGTATTGATTATCCCACAGATTGCCAAAGGAACAAACAAATCTGCCTAGGAGGAAGTGCAACCAGTGTGCTTAAAGGTAAGAATAGTGAAATGTCTCATATAATTTGGGCATGTTGTCAGGAAGGGTCAATCCTTGGAAAAAGATATCATACAGGGAAAGGCCAACAAAAAGGTCAACAACAAAAAAAGATCCTTTTCTGGTTCATGAGCCTGATGACTGGGTGTTCATGCTTGTGTATGGCATGTGTCTCCTATAAACCTTGTTAAAATGTTGGCACATTACCTGTCTGACATGGGGGCGGGGAAATAAAGAGGAAGACCCTTAATGAGATGGCTTGACACAGTGACTGCAGCAATGAGCTTGAACACATTGGAGATGGTAAAGATAGTGTAAATAGGACAAGGTTCAGAGCTATTGTTCATAGGGTCACCATGAGCTGACTTGCAGGCACCTAACAACAACTGTGAAATAATCTGGGCACTATATGTGACCCCAGGATCTGATAAACCAAAGAGCTGTGAAATGATTGAGGGTGGAATGCAGCACTGCTAGTCCTCTCTCTACCCTAACTCCAAGTGAGAGGAGTTCCTTTAGGGTTGAGACCTGTAACACCTTTTATTTCATTGGAGATAAAGGGGAGAGAATCAAGCTTGGGAGAGGGGTGGATAAAGAATTGCCAGGAGTGGAATGTGTCTTTTAGGCCCCAGACCCCTGTATGAGAAAGTTCCTTTATACCAGGTAAAGCCAAGCTACATAGAGATCACCAAGAAAAGACAGGCCTACAGACGCTGAGGGTTTTCCTTAAAGGCAAGGATGATGAAACTCATCTGTCATACTTTGGACTTGTAGTCAGGAGGGGCCAGTTCTTGGAAAAAGATCTCATGCTGGGAAAGGTAGAAGGTCAGAGAAAGAGGAAGACTCTCAACAAGATGGATTGACACAGTGACCGTAACAATGGGTTCAAGCACGTGAGAGATCATGAGGATGGTGCAGGATAGGGCAGGGTTCAGATCTGTCTGTCACAGGGTGGCTATGAGTTATAGTCGACAGCCTGTAACAATAGAGGCTGAAGGAAATAGGACTTTCCTTCAACACTGACAGTCGGCCTTCCCCTAGGATTCGCACTCTAAATTTGACCTTTAACTTAAACTGTAACAAGGGAGCTTTGGTGGCCTAATGGGTAGGGAGTTGCACTGCTAACTCAAAGGTGGTGTCTCTCTGTAACTCAAATCCACCAGTGGCTCCATGGAGGAGGACAGATGAACAAAACTGAAAGTCCTGAAAACCAGCTAATGAGTTGATTCTGACTTGGTGGCATGGAATTCTTATTATTACTATTTTTTATTGTGAAAAACATGTATGGGGATACAAGAGAGTGAGGGTTGGGAACAGAAGAGTGAGTATGGGCAGGGATTAAGTCACAGGGCTGCACAATTTGGTGGGTGGGAGGAGTAGGTGAAGGAAATGAGAAAGATCCAGTGGGGACCAGCAGAGACAAGGTAATGGTAAGCATAGTCCAATAGTGATGATTTTTTTTTTTAAACAAAGAAATTGTCTTCACTTGTGGGTTTCTCATTTGGGAATGGGACACAGACTCTGGTTTCTTCATGATGAACAGGGGTGTTGATGTGAAGGGGGAAGGGGAGCCCACTTTAACACCTTACTGGTGGTCCTGGATTGAAGCTCCATGCCTCCTTGTTCTGTTAGAAGATATTTTCCTGATGTTTAGTGCCCTCTGGGTACGGAATTATTATTTTTTTTTTCAAACTCTTAAGAAAATTCTGTTTCTTAAGGCCATCTCTTTGTGGTAGTTCTGTTGTAGCAGCACTAGGTAACTAAGACATGGATCACTACATTTAATCCTTCAATTGACCTCTTAAAAAACAATCGGAGGCACGCAGAATTTAAATAACATGCTCAGTGTTTTGAAACTAGTAAGAAGAGCTGGAAGTCAAATCCAAATTTGTGAAAGAGCAAGGCAGGTTGGGACTGAAGACAAGGCCTCAAATGTGTTTGAGGTTGACATTGCCTGAAGGCACTGAAAAATGGAAGAGATTTTTTTAAGCAGAGGAATATCTTACTTTTTTTATTTTTATTATTTTTGTGTGAGTGTACCGTCAAATCAGATCTGACTGGTACAGGAGGAGATTGTCCCTCCTTCCCCGGCAGAGCATCTGGTGGATTTGAACCGTGAGCCTCTGGGATTGTAGTTGCAGCTCCTTGCCACTAGGCCACCAGAGCTCCCCTAGCAGAGGAGTATCTTACTACTGTCGCAATACATTACAATTTGCTGGACAAATGAATGTGATTTTGCCCAGAACAATTAATAGAGCCTTCTCTTGCTGAAGAGCCTAGCTCAGATGACAAACAGTATGGTCACCTTGTTGTTGTTCTTGTTGGGTGCCACTGGGTCAAGTATAACTTGTAGTGACTTTATGAACAGCCAACCTGAACTCTTCCCTATCCTGTGCTATCCTCATCAACTCTGACACACTAGGCCCCATTGCTGAAGTCACTCATATCTGTCATTCCTATCTTGTTGGGGGTCTTCCTCTCCTTCATTGACCATCTTTCCAAGCATGATGTCTCTTTCCAAGAAATAGCCTTGCCTAACTACATGTCCAAGGTACGAAAGATGAAGCTTTACCATTTTTGCCTCCAAGGAGCACTCTGGATGCATCCTTTCCAAGACATACCTGTTAGTTCTCTTAAGACCAAACAATTTACAAAGTGCTCTGATAATAATGGGAATGACAAG